AGGTGAAACCTGCCTCCCAGATCAGAGCCACTAGGAACACAAGCTTTTCTTCCCTCTCGCCCAGGACATCTCTGTCTACTAATCCTCATACTGGCTAGTTTTGTGTTAACTTAATACAAGCTAGCATCATTTAGGAAGAGGGACCCTCAGTTGAGAAAATTCCCCCACCAGATTAGCCTGTGGGCAAGCCTTGATTAATGCTCCATGTGGGAGGACTCAGATCTCTGTGGCCTGTGCCACCCCTGGACTGGTGGTCCTGGTGCTATCAGAAGGCAGGCTGAGCAAACTGTGGGGAGCCAGCCAGTAAGAGTACTCCACCATGGCTTCTGTTTTGGTGCCCGCCTCAAGTCCCTGCCCTGATTTCTCTCAATGAAGGACTGTTGCCTGGAAGTGTAAGCTGAAATAAACCCTTCCTTCTCCAAGTTGCTTTCGACCAGGATGTTTTCTCCCAGCAATAGTAGACCTTAAATAAGAAAGTAACCTCATATCAGCACACCTGTCACCACATGTACACACGTGTCCACACTGAGGGGGAACGACCTTGCTGCTCTGCCTCTACTCATTTGTGGTTGTACCTAGGCCTAGCCTATTCCAGGTACCACCTTATCTTCCTACGGGCTTATGTCAAGAGCAGGCATCTGAATGCAGATGCCTGAGATGGGCATGTTTGGCATCAGTACATCCTCTCCAGAAGCCCCGAGGGTGGTCCTAGGTGAGTAGGAGCATGGGCCTGGTGGAGCCCATGCCTACTGTATATGAAGAGGCCGGGAGCCCAATTCTGACCTTGGCTCCGACACTTACCTGCCTGGTGAACTTGGATGAGTTTCTTCACTTTTCTGAGCCTCAGTTTCTCCATTTGCAAAAAGGCGATTAACAGTAACACTCATGTCTCAGCAGGGCTGTAATGACAAAGTGAGACAGTTAAGATTAAAGCCTTTGACACTGTGCTTGAGGAACAAGCTCTCAGAAGCAGTGGCTATCGGGGTGAGCCCTAAAGAAGGAAATCAGCCAATGGAACTACCAAGACTTAGTGCCTGTCCGCATAACCTCCTGGAACAGCCACCATGCCTTTGTCTGTGCTACCATGCATGGCCCCGTTTCTGGGTCTACTTCTAGCTCCTAGGTTCCTGGGCCGCTCCTGTCACTCTTGCTGTCTCTGTTGGGCTCTGCAGTTGCTCTCACTGTGCCCACTGACACAGCTGATGCCATAAGCCATTGCTGCCACAGCTCTTCTTGCTGTCCCTTCCTTTACTCCTTATTGCCGACCTTCCCCCCTTGATTCCTGTCTCTAGTCCTGCTCTTTTGAGATTCTGTCTGTGGGAAGAGAGGGGGGAAAGGGACACTGGGACTAAACTAAGGGAGAAGACTTCCCAGGTGTGGTAGACATAGAGATAGGAGTGGATGGATGGATGGATTGATGGATAGATAGATGGGTAGGTGGATTGGGGGAAAGAGATATGCTGAGACAGACTGAGGCAGAGCCTGGCAGGGTGACATGGGCCTGAGATCCCATGGAAGTGGAGGCAAGTATAATGCAAGTTCAAGGCCAGCCTGGACTATAGAAGACATTCAAATCCAGTTTGAGCATCTTGGTGAGAACCTATCTCAAAAACATATAGCAGCTGGGGCTGAGTCTGTCGCTCAGTTGGTAGAATGCTTGTCTAGCACACACAAAGGCCTAAGCTTGAGCCCCAGCAACACATTGACTGTCAGGCATGGTGGTGCAGGCCTGTAGTCGGAGCATTTGGAATGCAGGAGGATCAGAAGTTCAAGGTTCTTATCTGCTTACATAGTGATAAGCCTCATCTGCACTAGAGCCACACACTTTAACAACAACAACAAGACAAGGCTGGAGAGATACAAAGAAAGGTGGAGAGAGGCAGGCAGCGAAAGCTAGCCCAGTGGATCTAGAGAGGCAGAGAGGCCGAGCAGGACAAGTCTTGCAGCAACTGTTTAAAGTTAAGAGGCAAAGGGAACTGGGAGAGGAGAGAGAGAGGCTCAGGGACTCTGAGACAGCCATACTCGCCAAGAAGAAGTGTGCCAAAGGGCTGAAAACAGGCAGTAGCCAAGAGGGAAACCGTGGCAGATCCGGGCCACTAGAACACATCTGAGGGACAGAGACTCCGGGGGTAATGTATTCATCCCTGAGATCAGCTCCTGTCCCCAAAGAGATTCAGCTGTCTGACTTCCTGATGCCACACACACAGACTCCCAGTTCCCAAAGATCACCTGTGACAGGCTCCCTGAAGTGATCCTGGTAATGCCAGAGAATGATCTGGGGCCTCCAGGGCTCTGCCCTCCCCTACTTACACTGAGGCTAGGGCGGTGTGCCCAGCCTCCCTGTGTTCGCTCTCTCTTCTCTTGCTCCTCTCTTCTTGGGGCAAGTTCCTGAAACTTCTCTTTCTAGCTCCGTCGTTAATGACAGGCCAGGGGACCCAGGATTGCGACACCTTCCTGGCTTCTCTGCTACTCTACCCTTAGCCCTCACCCTTGGGGGACATAGGCAGCCCCTTCCTCTCAGGAAGGAGGTTGAGGGAAACTGGTGAGCCAGTGACCTTCCTGCCTCAGGGGTCTTAGAGGGCTGGGCATTGTGGCAACCTGGCCCGAGGCCCCCATCTCCCTTCTCTCCGGATTTCCTGAGCTCCCCACTTTGAGTCTGTGCAGGGCACCCTAGACAACATGGCCAAGGGAGGGCTGGGGTCTTCAAGTGTTCATTCAAAACTGAAGCAGGGCAAAAAGACAGGGAAAAGTAAAGGGGGCGGGGGCTGGTTGGAGCCTCTGCCCGTGGAGAAACAATTTCCGAACAGGTAACACTTACTCAAAGCTGTCTTACCTTGTCATCTGAAAACCTGCCTTTTCCTAGGACCCCCATCAGAAAACCACCCTGACAGTAAAAGGTCATGCCCTCACCTGTTTGTACCGTCCTGGTGGCTCCTGGTTTTATCTTGTCAGGTTTTAATCCCTGCCAATATGCCTCAGAACCCATCCCATAATTTCAATTACCAACAAGGAGAGGAGAAAGCCACATACGGTGGTGGTGCACACCTTTAACTGAAGCACTCGGGAGGCAGAGAGGCAGGTGGATCTGTGTGAGTTCAAGGCCAGCCTGGTCTACAGAGTGAGTTCCAGGACAACCAAGACTATTACACAAAGAAACCCTGTCTTAAAAATAGCAACGAAAACAAGTCAAAACCAAAAACCCAAACAAACACCCCCCTCCCTAAAAGAAAGAGAGGAGAAAAACATTTTTAGTTTGAAAAATCCCTAAAATAGTATATACTAGTATATTAGGCAGGGTTCTCTACAGGAGTGGTTCTCAACCTTCCTAATGCCGCAACCATTTAATACAGTTCCTCATGTTGTGGTGACCCCCAACCCTAAAATTATTTTCATTGCTTCTTCGTTACTATAATTTTGCTGTTATGAATCATAATCTAAGTAGCTGTGTTTCCCGAGGTTTTAGGCAGCCCCTGTAAAGAACCGCTGCTCTAGATGAACAGAACCAACAGAGTGAACGCACATACACACATACATGAATTTATTAAATTAGCCTATGCAATACAGTTCTAAGTAGTAGCCACAGCCATATTACATTTGAACACCCACCTCGGAAATCCTCAGGACATGCCTCAGCAGTCCCAAAATGGTTCTGTAGACCCAGGCGCTGTCTGGTCCTCGGTCAATGGTGGAAGCCCGGAAACCCTGGTTTTGACTTTCGTGAAGGAATCGTCGGGGTGGTAGCAACAGGGTAGAATGACTGGCAGCAAGAGGGAAGGAAGGTCAGGGAAGCAAAGGCTGGCCAGTCTTCCTTCTTTCATGTCCTGCTTTTGACCTAGGCTCCCACCTGAAGGCGCCGCCCATACTTGGGGGTGGGTCTTTCAATATCAATTAAGGAAGGCAGTCAAGATAATTCTTCAGCTGAGGGTTCCTGCTCAGGCGATTCTAAATCACGGCAAGTTGACATTTAAAATCAAGCATCATGGTCAATCTCATGTCGACGATACACAAACTGGTCACTTTAAAAATCATAACCTTCCTTAGCTGGGCTCGGAGGAGCACACCTTTAATCCCATCACTTGGGAGGCACAGGCAAGGGGATCTCTGTGAGTTTGAGGCCAGCCTGGTCTACAGAGCTCATTCTAGGACAGTCAGGGTTACACAGAGCAACCCTGTCTCAAGAGAAAAAAGTCAACTGTAAACTTCTATGACATTTCAACATATATGGCATCAAAAAAACAAATACCTGTTCTAATTAGCTTTCTGTTGCTGTGATAAAAACCACAACTAAAAGTAGTTTAGGAGAGGGAAGGGTTTATTTCAGCTCACACTTTCAGGTCACAGTCTAGCTTTGAGAGAAGGTAGGAAGCAGAGGCAGGAACCATGGAGGAAGGCTGCTTACTGGCTTGTTCATTGACTCATGCTCAACTAGCTTTCTTTTTCTTTTCTTTTTTTTTTTTTAAAGATTTTATTTATTTGTTATGTTATACAGTCTTGTGCCTGCATGCCAGCAGAGGACACCAGATCTTATTCAAGGTGGCTGTGAGCCACCATGTGGTTGCTGGGAATTGAACTCAGGTCCTCTGGAAGAACACCCAGTGCTCTTAACTGCTGAGCCATCTCTCCAGCCCCTCAACTAGCTTTCTTAAATAAACCTGGACTTCCTGCCCAAGTATGATACCAATCCGGGCCACTCTCCAACTGAGGTTCCCTCTTCTTACCTGAGTCTAGGTTGTGTTAGGTGGACAGTGGTTCAGGGACGTGCAATGTTTTCCATAGCTGCTGTTTCCTTTTGTTCATCCGCATTATTCTCTTGCAACTATCTACAGATACTTTTCTGAGGAT